AAATCAAGGTTATTTGAAAAATGAAATGAAAAGAGAATAGAGGCTGACCCCACCGCAGGTATCAAAGTCGAAGTACCAGCAATGCCATTACAAAAATACCACGTTGGGAATGACTGTCCCCCTCAGAGTTTACAACATTTTCCGACGCTGAATTTATCCTTTGGTGATTATGGTACTGGTGATGATAAGTGTTAGACAAGTTTGTTCTTGCTTTCAAAATACCAACACTTTATGCCTTTCTGCCAACGGCAGCAGTGCAGTTGATTTTGATAAAATGTTTTTTCTATCTTTTTTTTTTTTTTTAATTTTGCAACTGGTCCAGCCCTCTACTACTAGGAGAACAATTGAGGCAGATAGCAAAATCTCTAAATAAAGTAGTTTGGAACAAATTTTCTTGTTACATTAATAATAGCTTAAGCAACAATTAGCAAAAGGAAATGCAATTAACAGTTTTGCTGCCATAATCTGTCAATTTCTATTGTTAAACAGCAATATTTTGGTATAATATAACTGTATACAAAACAGAGTTTTGTGACTTTTCCAGAAAGGCTTATGTTCTCTACCCTAACAAAAATGCTTCGCAAACCCGAAGAGAGAATTTTCAGTCAGCTACCAAAATCGTCAGCAAAATAAGCAGAGCATCCTTGTACTTCAAATTTTCAGTCTCTGTTTCGAAGCTCCGTGTCGTTTCTTATCTGGTTTACCAGAAGAGAGAAAAAAATTTACAGCATTTTCAACCGCTTTGTTAGAGCTGACAGCATCTTCAGAGGCCAACTCTCTTTTTCTCTTCTTCATTTTCTTCTCTGCCGAGGTATCATCAAGTATGGATGCAGAAGTGAGAGAACTGTCTCTCTCTTTTGTGTTTAATTCTTCGAGCTCTGACGTGTCCATAGATGCATCAGAAAGGAACTTGTTGCTTTTTGTTGATTTGGATACAGTAGGGCCAAATGCAGCATAGAATTCATTGTAAGCTGATTCTTTTGATGCTAGTTTTGACCTCCACTGATCAGGATTGGAAGAATATCTGCCATCACAAAGCAAAGGTGAAGAAACAAGCCATAAATATAAAACAAAAACTGCAACAAGCAATTGAATTTGAGTTTGTTGTTCCTATCAAACTTCGGTCCAAACTAGAATAAGCATATGCATTACAACTTAGCTTACGACATAACACAAGAATTAATCCTTGATTACCAAACCAGCAAACTGCAATTTAGTTACCTGTCAATATCTAATTTCCTTAGGAGATGGGGGCCTTGTTTTGTCTTGGAGAGTTCAGTTCTTACAGCTAACAGTTCAGAGGCTATGGATTCCTTCTGTGACAGGCCACCAACATTGAAGCACTTCTCAACTGTAAATGATCCAGAGAGCTGCATCGCAAGCTCCCCAAAATGTCCACGTAACCTTCATATTTAACAGCAAACAAACAGTGTAAAGTAAATATTAGCGGCAATTTAATCATATACTTAACCATGCAACAAAATAACAGATTGATATGGAATCACAGGAGAGTAGAAGATATTATTCCATGTCCACACATAAAGTTCCAGACCATAAAGTTCAATCAAAGGCTATAACTTTTGTGCACACAAGGTCCATTGGTATCACTTTTAACCAATGGACCAAATGAAACAAGGACAGATAAGAACTTCCTGAGAGAAATGAAACTCAAATAAAAATGACATTGCAACATTTTGACTTACTTCACAACTAATCTACGCTTCTGTTTTGTGGAAGCATCTGAAGCAAGAAATGCTTCAATAACCCGTGCTCCTCGAGCATCTTTAGCTGCCTCAAGGACATGCTCAGTTCCCATGGATGTAATACTCAAAAGATAAGGCTGTATCCATTCCTGTAACGAAGAAACAATATATTGCATAGAAAAATAGAAAGCCAGTATCCACACTTTTCTCTTATATTCAAGCCAACATCATAGAGAATTTTCAAGATCCAAAACAATCAATATACAGATGAACTAAGCATAACTAAGGTATCATATCTTTGCTCTGTAATGCCAGACCATATATCTAAATAGGATATCCTGCACATTGCATATGATCAAACTGAAAACAGCATATGGGATATTGGTTTAACATTGAGAATTTTCAAGGGAATAATAATCATTCAATTCAGGAATTCAAACTAAGATCTTTAATCAGTCAATTATCTGGCATTTCAACTTTCAAAACACTTGCTTTAAAGATGATCAAATATGTTCAAGTATCAGGCTATCAGTTGTATAAATAATTTTCTGCACCAACTGCTTAAACATTTGTTTCACTAACTAAAAACCTTCAAGCTTAATTTGCTGCACTAACCTCAATCTCAAAGCCTAAATATGAATTACCATTACTATATAGACATCTTACTCAGAAGCTTGACACTCGATATGCAAGAGCACATGCGCAGAGTCATTCACTTAAGTTAATACAAGCAAAAGTGGTTGAAAACTTGCTGATAGCACATGAAAATATCCAAGGGCGATAAATTGGGTAGAACAGAATTATATAACATGTTCAAGTAAAGAAACATACACTTCGGAATTTAAAAATAGCCTGCAGAATCAAAGAACCCATGACATGCATCTTAGCACCAACAGGCCAGTTCCAGCTAGACTTGTCATGATGGCTGAAGTAACTGTCAAGGAACAGTATACGAGGAACAATGAATTTGGAATTCTCTTCTTTTGAACCAACAGCAGTAGCAAGAGCCTCACAACACTGAGGGGAAAAATGTAAATTAATGAAGGGTTAGGAGAAGATATCTACATAAAAGTGAAGTTTTAGTATGAAATAATTTCCATTTAGAAGTTATTACCACAAGCTGTTTCAGACTCACATGTACAGGAACCGACTAAGGAGCAAACATTAAGGGTGTGTTTGGTTCACGGAATGTAAGATTACCAGTGGGAATAAAAGATTACCAAGGAATATGATTACTAGGAATGTTGCATTTTGTGTTTGGTTGGTTTAACAGGAATGTAAGATTACCGTATTTGATTAAAGGAATAAAAGATTATTGGAATATATATTTGACTAAATTGTCCTTATTATATATTTGTTTAATATTACAAATTTTAAAATATTTATATATTTTCTTTAAAAAAATTAAATTCATAATATTTATATAAATTTTTTTACAAAATTAAAAATATAAAAAAGATTTAATGAAAGGGTAATTTTTTTTTAATCCTTGAACTTCATATAAAATTTTAATTATAGAATTTTTTTTATAAATCTAAAATAATTTAAGGATAAATTTGTAATTTAACCTTTGTAGAATTTTTATTATTCAATGATAGAAGAAGAATATTTTTGAAAAAAAAAAATTTAAGGGCATTTTAGTCCAAAACGCCGGTAATGTTACAATACCTAAGAGAATGGAGGTAATGACATTCCCGGTAATATATCCCAAAAAATCTACTATTGGTAATAAAACATTACCGAGAATGCGATTCCCGGTCAACCAAACATGGGAATGTGGGATTCCCATCCCATGGGAATCCCACAATCCTTGAACCAAACACCCCCTAAAGGAATGAATCTAACGACTGAACCTTATATTTATGAGTTTGAAGCCTTTGACACGCAGCGATAAGAGATGCAATAATTCCTGATCTCCCCATTTCAAGAAGATCCGCAAATTTCAACCCAAGCTCTTCCCAGATCATCTCCATCTAATAAACAAAATAAAGTTTTTCAAATCTCAGAACAGCAAAGCTTAGCAAAGGCATCCGGAACCAGAAATAGCTTTCTTAAACTGTGGAACTTAACAGCAGCCGAATAAAACAATAAGTACATAAATACCAATAACAAAATTTCACTGATAGAACACTAGTATCCACTGAAGTACATCAAATCATTTCAAGAGATAATATTAGCTTTGAATCTTGTCAAGCATACAAAGATTACAGGCTTTTATGTATAGTAGAATGTTGGAATACGTACTTGATCTTTAGTTCTTGCATGGGAAATTAACGCTTGAACAACAAAGTTCCCACAATGATGAGATGAAAGCTCAAACAATGAATTCTTCAAAAGCTTTGTGAACATATCATTATAAAGGCTTTCAGGTGCAACTTCCAAAATTACCTGCATTTTGCAGAAGATGAAGCTAGCCCAAAGAATAAAGAAAAGAGAAAGAGCAGAAACTAGATGATTTAACTACTGCATGCAAAGGATATGGAAGAGGTAAAGGAATCAACTGCTCTATTGTTGTTTTATTCTTCATTTGGTTATAGGATAATAAACATCACAGTTGCAGCAGCTCTTGAAACTTAAAGGTGAAATTATTATAGTGGAAACGAGGAAAAGATTCACCTCACAGACAACCCAATTTATCACTAATTAAGGGAATTCAACATAAAGAAAAGGAAAGGTTCATTCACCCAGAACAGTGTCAAGATGGTTCTAAGTTCTAACTACTAAAATTGACCCTGTAACCTGACAATTATCAACAGAAAATATCTTCTGGGGCATATTTGGTGACAAGAAATAAGTCAAGGATGAGATTCAGAGGTTCATGAATAATATAATTACAAGGCTAAGAAGGAAATTAGGTGCAAATTTGTATGTTTATTTCTTTAAAGGTAAGTTTAAGGGCATTGCTATTTGGGCTCATACCCTTGACAATCTAATCAAATGGCTATCTTCCAAAGTGTCTTTTTATGACATTGATTCAAGTACAAATGAAATAAAACTTCTATAGGGAGCAATGAACAAGATTATTAAACAAACAAAGAGGAGGAATAATCCAGTCACAAAGTACAAATATATAATACATATATTAAATAGAATCCTGTTAAAAGTTTCTTACTTCCATTAGATGGCTAAATGCGGTTTCTTTCATTGCTTCTACAGTTTCACCAACAATGATTGTGTCAATGAAGTTTCCCTTCACTAAATCTTGCTTGTTGCAACTGAGAATAACTGGAATTATTTGCAGTAATTCTTGATCATCCCCCGCTAATAACTTCAAAGCTGTCTGGCATGGAAGAAGTGAAAAGGTCAGTTATAAACTAATTCATTACATTAATTCCTCATTTCAAAAAGGAGAGAAGTCCGCAAGGGCAAGTATAAGACTCAAAAACTCACGAAAAAAGCTAAAACACCCATCAAGCCATCTCTTAAATTACACCAACCGATGTGCCCATAAAAAATAATTAATTAATCTTATGTGATAGAGGGGGGTTTGTTAGAGTTTACAAGCCCAATTACAAGAGAAGTTACTTCAAAAAATGAAATGCGTGCATGCTGTATAATACAAATAATGAAGTTCCAATAACTAATTAATCTGGCTATTAATTACATCTTTGACAACTCAACACATAAATGCATAGTCCTATAACAGATGGAATCTCTTAATACTTATCTGAATACGCTAGTCACTAATACCAAAAGCCATAAGGCAACAAAATCACATACAGATTACTTTTGCTTAACTGAATAATGAAATTATATTAAACAACAGGAAAAATAAAGACATGCCTGCAGAACCAAGCTGCTATACTGATCAACTAGCATGCTCTTCATGTTTTCTCTTGTACAGTTAACCATCCCAGATACAAGGAATTTCAATAAATATGGAAATCCTTGCTGAAATTGCTGGGAATCATTCTCATCGAAGTGAGATACTTTGAAATTTAACCTCTCTGCTAAAGCTTTTGATCCCTTTGTTCCATGAAACTCTGAGGAGTCCAGTGGTACTCCTTTACATAAACAAAGAAAGCTTCGAAGAACATGAGATCCATAGCAGTTGCACATTAGATCAACAGGATTGACAACAATCACCTGAAAAAGATCAATGAAAGGTTCAGGGGAAAATAGAAAAATTTATCATACTATCATAGTCTGCCTCCAAATATATACTCATGAAATATTTAGATGATGTGATAATTCATTAAAAGTAAGGGCATTTGAAGTGCCATAACAAGAATACACGCAGAAATTGTTTCATTAGCCAATGGAGTACAAAACCAAATACTTAATACCTTGCATATCATTTCCAGAGTTTCTTCAATTATGGTGCATGCCTCTGTGTCCTGAACATGCCTGGCTAATGACTTAAGAGATGTCTCGGCTACATGAGAACCGGATCTGTCCATTGCAATTGCAGGAAAGACATCCGCACAGCCTAGAAGAAAACTACAAAGATTGTCCACATTACAGCCATCGAGTAGAGTCTCAAGAGTATTGCTTATGATATAATCTGTTGCTAGTTCTAATTCCTTCCCCCTAGCTTCTTCAAGAGCATTGCCACATATAACCGACCGTTCCTCCACATCCACCCCTTGACTTTCAAAAAGGTTCGCAATCTCCGAAAAGTATTTTGCTGTTTCAGGCTCAACCTGTTTCCTAAAAGGGTAATGAAATCTGTTATAGCATTCCTGACATAACTGAAAAAAGTTTTAGTTTCCAACTTGGATCAAAAGAGTAACAATACCTGATAAGCGGTGCTAGTGAATCTGAATTATTGTGATGCTTGAAAGATTTCTTAAATTTCCCAGTCTCATCAGTTGCAGACCTGGATACATCCTTTTTATAACCATCCCATTCTTTCTTTGCCTTCTTCCCCATGTTCCTTTACTTCCAGAACCTCTTATACGGTTATATCTTCTTAAGAGCTAACTTACTTTTCAGAAACCTAAAAAAACCAGTACTTTCCTTAATGATTTCCTAATGCAAAAAAAAAAAGTTTTAATAAGTTTTCAGCAGAATCAATAGTTTTAAATTCATGGCTAATTCACATCTCATATAAAATGAGGAAAACGAGAACAAAGGAAGAAAGCAAGCATGATACAACACAAGTTGGATTTTTCACTGCGATAATAATATCGTAGAAGACAGATATAATCAAAAGATTGGAACGATGAAAAAAAGAAAGTCCAGAACATATAGAAGTTGCTTACCTTAGCTTACGACGACTTACAGTGAGGCGGAGGAGCTGCTTGCAGGTGCCGAGACCTAACTGCAAAAGAGGCGCTTAAGAGGGTGTGAGCGAACAAACGATGGAGGCACTTAGCCGAATACCAAAAATTAATATTTATATTATGTGATTTTATATAGGACTGTTTCATTTGTTGGGTCTTAATCATTATCTTTCTGGCCTACTGGGCAGAGGATTTTGAACCCAAAAGGTGAGTCTGGTTTTCAATACGTTATACGGCTTTCGTTGCTTATGGGTTTACATTGGCTAACTTGTAAGCCCATAATTACATTTAATTCGGATTAAATGGATTTTAGAATAAAAAGTAATTTATTTATGGGTCAAATTAAGCTGGCCCAACCAGGATTAAAAAGTTTCCCTTTTAACTTTTGTGTTTAAAATGAATTTATAACACAAAGTCAATGTTTTTAACAGCCAAAGAATTGTTGTTATTTTTTTAAAATTTAAGCATCATAAATAATTTTGACTTTAAAAAAATGTTAAAAATAATTTTATAAATAAAATTGTAATATTTTAATAAAGTTTACTTGTGATTTTGTTTTTTTTAATAAATAAAATAATTTACATCATCATATTAGTCTCCTTTATGATTAGTCTTTTGTCTTGTTGTCTGTTGATACAAACAACCGTGGATTATTTTGGACATCCACTATGACATCATTACAATAAAGTTTTAGACGTACTATATACCTCGTTAATAAAAGGGTAAAAAATGCTAATAGATATTTTTGTTTTTAGTCTGATTAATTTTGATCACCGATTTTTTAATTAAATGTGTTTGGTAACTTACGTTATCAGTTTTTTCGATAAGTCATTCAACTGTTAATTTTCGTTAACTCACGTGTTCCTCCTCATGTTTAGGTGTAGGAGCTTAAGCCCTATAGCAGTGCAAAGACAAACGGTTGCTTCAAACTCTAGACCTCCCAACACCGGGCAGCAAGCATTCTCGATTAATGGGTTTTCTAATTCGATATACACCAATCCTCCAAGCACACCCACACACAATCCTAGCTTAAGTGCATTAATTAGGCATGTTGGTTGTGTAGTTGGTGGAGCAGGACTACTACTACCCCCACCCCCACCTCCGCCTCCACCATCACCACCTCCTCCTCCTTCACTACCACCTCCACTGCCCCTCCCCCAGAAGTGGACAAGGAGAAGAAGGTGGTGGGATGTAATAGAAGGGACGTTCGTTATTGGTGGAACAACAACAACCGGTGCCTTTTTGGATGGTCGCTCTACCTTGGGCCGCCTCCATGTTTTGGCGTATGCTTTATTTTGGGATTACCAAGGTGTTTTGGCCGGTGGTATAGGGGAGTTACTGTGGATGCATGCAAGGCGTACAAACGTAAATGGGTGACAACGATATAAACATGAAAATCAACATGATCAAAACCATGGTTGTAATCTTCCAAGCCATGACTTAAGGTTTTAAGAGTGTTCCCCTTGAGTTGGGTCAAAACAAAACTATATATAACTTAACTCTACGTGAAAGTAATTCCCAAGATGAAAATTTGAAGAAACATGATTAATAGATGACGATGGAAGCTGTTGTTGGTATATTTTGTTATCCTTTTAAAATTTTGATGTATTAATGATCTGCATTTACTTAGCTAATTTTTATCTAACAAATTATATGAAGTCAAGGAAAAGGTAGAAGTGGAAACAGTTCTTCTAAAGCAAGAACGCGATGAAGCTTTACAGATTAGGGTTGCTAGCGAAGAAAGGTTAGATCGTCTCGATGTAGCCCTCAAGAAATGCATTTAGCAACTACGGTTCGTTCGAGAAGAGTAAGAGCGGAGGATTCATGACCCTGTAACAAAGGCCTCAAATGGATACCAAAGGGTTTGGAAAAAGAGTTAAAGGGGAAGGAATAGAGGTGAAACAATCGGGAGAACAGAGACAAATACTGTATCGAAGGGCTTTTGAGTTATTGTGGGTGTAATTCAGCACTGGAAAGTATATGTTACGGGAGAACAAAAACAGAAGAAGAAGAAGAAATACGTCTTTTTTTTAAATAAAAAAATATTTTTTAATTGTCAACTTAAACTTCAGTCAATGAATTAATGGAAGTTAACGGCCGACTGACTTAAATCAAACGAATCGGTAATGTAAGGAATAAGGTGTACTTAATTAGAAAACCGATAATCAAAGTCAATTAGACCGAAAAAATAAAAAAATTAAAATTAAACATGATTATCACTTGCCCTCTTTTCTTGATTAATGACTTCTATAGGGGATAAGGATGATCTTGTATAGGTAAAGAAGAAAAAAAAGTTAAAAATTATTAATTAACTTAAAGTAAAATCGGTTCGATTTATTTAATTCAAATCTAGAAATAGCCATAAAGTACTAATTGCACATACATAACACTTAGGGATAACTAATTCAATAAATGAACGTGATATTTAAAACACGCTTTGACTTGTAGATACATGTTTTTGTCCGGGTTTTATTATTATTATTATTATTATTATTATTATTATTATTATTATTATTATTATTATTATTTCATTAATATTATTTAATTATATTTTTGTGTAGGCCAAAAATGGAGCCCAAATTATAGTATCAACCCAGGCCCAAAGCAAATACAAGACCAACTCGATTACAAGCAAAGCCCAATGATACAAGCCCAACACCTAGGGCATAACCCACCAGAGAATCTAGCCGACCTGAATGGAGCCCAATAACCGGATATGACCTGCCTCAGGCCTATACAACCCAAACCCGCTAGGGTTTCTTCATTTTTGTATAGCGTCGCCCTGGATTCCAGCCGTTGGATCAGATTTGATCCAACAGTATGGTTTTAACCCTAATTATCATCCAGCTATCATCGATGAGGTTTCTGGAACGTTCGATGGCACACGTATGATGCACACGCCAACCCCCTCAGTTTCCCCAGCCACACGAACCGTCATTGTTGCTCTTGCCAAAGTCATCTTAATCTGCCGCCTGCTTCAATTAACCAAATCACTCAACCATCAGAATCATGTCAAAAACCCAAATGAAAAAATGAAAACCAAATCAGAACAAAATCCCGATGAGGGATTTACTTTCAGGAGATCAACATGTTACTCGATTAAAAAGGGGAATCAGAGAGAAAAAAGGGATGAACCAAAAGGGGAGAGTTTCAGAAAAGACAACAAAGAAAGAGAGAAAAATCACAGATAAAATTCGAAGAGAAAAATAGAGGAGAAAATAAAGAGAGGATTTTTCAAAGAGAACAAAAAGAAATGAAAAAGAAATAACAAGAATGGGTTCTTACCTCGGTTTGGTGTCGGAAACCCAAGAATCGTCGGAAGCTTCGAGTTTTCATAAGGTAAACCTTATATACGAGGCAAAGGGGTCGATTTTAGACTATAATGGTCTAAGATTTGCGTTAAGGAAGATGAGACAAAGATTCAGGGGTCTTTTGACTCCTCCGACCACCGTGGGCCGCCGTGAGCGGCAGCGACGACCTCTTTCTTCCCCGATGAGAAAGTTTAGAGAGTTTTGAATTTCTCTCTCTCTTCTCTCGGTTTGAAGGAAGAAAATGAGGACTTTGGTTGAATTTTGGCCTTGTTATGGCCTTAAATACCATACGCGAAATGATGTTGTTTTGTAAAAGGGGGTTCAACATGTTTTCATGTTTGGGCTAATAAGGCATTTATTCCTTGCCTTTTGTAATTTCACCCGTGTTTTTTTATTTTTCTAGGGTCAAATCACAGTTTAGGTCCCATATGTTTTGTAATTTCATTATAAAGCAATTAATTTAAATCTACTGATATTCTACTTTGAGCATTTAATTTCCTATGTTTATTTTTAAGTCACTCACTCTATGTCTTATGTTATTTTCTTTGATGTTTGAATCTGGCTATGACATTTAAGAATATTTTATTTTGGTCATTATTTCATAAGGTTGCATTTTGGTATAATTTTAACTGTTCCTTTCATGTTTCTGTTTAAGTTTATTTTAGTCCTTAATGTTATTTATGGATTATTTTCATTTCTGGTGCTTATATTGTCTAATATGTTTGTTTGTGGCTCTAGGTTGTTTATAATCACTTTTCAATCCTTCAAGTTTATGTTAATCCTATTTTGGTGATTTTATTTTGATTTGTATTGTTCGCTTGTTTTTATTCTAGTCCTTTATATTGAATATATATTTTACATATCATGTAGTTATTTGCATTGTATTAAATAAATATTATTAGCTCTATTTATTGTAAATATTTTATTTAACATATTTCCATTCGTATTTATTTCCATTGTATTTCTTTATCTAAATATTATTCGAATATTTTCAAGAAATGTATTTGTAGAATGGTAGTGGAAAGTATCACTTGATCGAAGTAGTACAATCTGATACAATGTTCGAATGAAATGAGACTTGAAATAAATTCAGTTTATTTTACTAATTAAATTTTTTATGATTCAATGCATTTTTATGTAGCAATTTATTTGGTTGTTTGCAAATTGTCGATATTTGATTTATACTCGATTTGCGCTTTTTAAATCAATGAGAATGAAATATTCTTTTAAGAAATAAATAAGAAGAGATAGTCTTCCCGTTTGAGGATGAGCGAATTTCGATAGTTATTTTTGAATTAAAGGATTTTCCCTAAAAAATAATTCGAAACAAATTAATCAATATTCAATAAACGAATCATATTTCAACTTTATGTTTGATTTATGATTTCCACTACTACGACAATGTGTAAGCGATTGAGTACTAATTTTGGGCGATGTGGGGGTGCTAATCCTTCCCCACACGTAATCGACTCTCAGACCCGTAAAATTGATTTTTTGGTAAACACATACCAATTTTCGTCTTAAAAACAATTTGTTTTAAAAGACATTTTTAGGTATTCGAACTACCTAACCCAAAAGTCGATGGTGACTCCCATTCGATTTAATTCAAACTAATTCAAAATCCGTAATTTTTCAAATAATAAAGTCACAATTGTTTTTTAAAATAATATTTAATTGTTTTATCAAAAAAATGGTTATGACAGCTTGGTGACTCCACTGATACTTTTTTTAGAGAGTCAGGTTATAGGTCGCTTATACATGGTCATTGTGGTGGAAATTATGAGTTCAAGTCTATAGTTAGCTTATAATCCATTTACTTAAATTTTTAATTTATGTACTTTATCGTACTAACGTTTTAATGTATTTTTCAGCTTTGTTGAGGTTTTTTTTTCGTTTTTTTAGAGTCAAAGGTTTGTATGTTCCTCATCACACACATCACGTGCATTTGCATAACATAAGCTCTAGACCCGAGCTTCGATCCAAATAAGTCGGAGTAAATGCTTTACTCTTGTAAGAATTTATCCCTATGATACATGCCTTATACCTTCGTAGAGATTTATTCCTCGTATAGGTATAAGGAAGTGAATCTCCTCGAATTGAACTCGATTTGTTTACGCCTATAATGGATTATGATTGAGGGTTTGGCATCCCAAAGGGGCACCAACATCAGGGATAATTCGAGTACATTTTCCCGTTTATAGCTGAAACCATGCATATAGTGAACCGTAGAACGACCACCCTAGGTATAGTCATACCGAACTTCTGTCTGTCAGTAGGTACCCAAAATAAGTGTACACAATGGAGAAGCGTTTTTGAACCTTATATTTTGCTTTAAATTTTATTGAATAAAAGCATGCAAACTAGATACCATGCAATTAGGATTATTTTCTTGAAAATAAATCATTTTGGGTAGAAATCATGTCTGGGTAGGACCTCTATATAATGAAAGCATGCTCGGGTAGATATCATGATTGAATATGTGTTATATTTATTTTTATATAGCATTTTTTTACTCTTTTTGATTGTAACATTCTCAATACCGGGTTAGTGATTTAAGTGTAAGATTTTTAAATACAATGACCAAATTAAATAAATTGAAAAGTGAATGAATTAATTAAAAGATGTTGGTGTAGGATTAATTAGCAAATGAAGGAAGAATAAAAGGGTAAAAGGGTCATTGAACAAGTGGATGAATAAAATATTAATTGGGTTATTTTATAAACCCACGTGGGGCTTATGTAGGAAACAAATGTTTCCAGATTTCTCTCATTTCTTCTTCCTTCTTTCTTCATCTTCTTTTTCTCTCAAATGTGAAGACCCAAGCTCAAGGTAAGTTTGACTTCTTTTGGTTAATCCTTCAAATTCAAGCATGGTTTTGATTCATGAAGCTCTAGGAAACATGATGGAAGGAAAAAGGGGCATAGAAACTCAAAGAGTTTTGAGTTATAGAAGATGAAAAAGAATGGGTTTCAAAGTGAATTTCTGAAAAAGAGTTAATAAGTGAATTTAGAAGTTGAATTTTACTTGTCATAGGTGTGAATAATAAGTTATAAGTGTTAGAATTAAGTTTGGATAACAAGGAAAATTGTGTATGATTCTTAGCTTTAAGAATTTGAATGAAGTATGGGAGATTCTAAAGTGTTGAAATGATAGAAGTTAGTTAAAATGATTGTAGTTAATTTTGGTGCTATGAAAGGAACTTTGTATAAGAAAATTTAGTGAAGAGTTGATGATTTTCGTGTTTGAACAGTAAATTCTGGGTTTTTACAGATTATGCACCTATGGGGAGGGTATCGATACCCCCTAAAGGAAAAGTTGAAGTTTGGTTCATTAAATTCGTTTAAGCTATTAGTATCAAATTATAAGGTTTAGGCTTTTGATAATTGTCTCAGAAATTATGTTTATGTAGATATCGAGCCTAAACGAGTTCCGGAACAAGTGACAAGTAAGAACGAACGAGGGATTAGAAACGATTGAGAAAGGGATAAGTTCTAGAATTGTTTCAAATCCAGCAAGGCTAAGATGAGTGCATATTATAATTATAGTACAATGGAATAAGACTTGTGATAAGTCTAATTCCTATGTTGATTTTTATAGTACAATAGTTATGAACATACATACATGATAATTATTATGACACATGCATAAAGTATATATGTTCATATGATTTGATAAATGATATATGAGAATAGATTCAAATGCACATGTGATATGATAAGTGATATGAGCTATGTGATCACAAGAGAAATGACATGAATACATGAACATATGAAACATAAGAATAATGCCCATGGTATACGATATGGGAGCCATAAGTATAGTTGGCATTCCAAGAGTTGATGGTTTCATATGTCCTTCGGGACAACTCATAGGTCCTTCGGGACATATTCACAGGTCCTTTGGGATAAAAATTTCATATGCCACTCAGTGGGACTTATACGAGCTGTGGTGACAGCAATAGTGCACAACCTCAATGTACTCG